TATAAATAACTACACTATAGATATAAATGTATTTCTAGACGTCTCAAATTATAATAAGAATGTTTTTAGGTAGATGCCCTCTGAAAATTTTTAATTGTGTAAAATAACTCACCTTTAGAAATCTTTTTTAGTTGCCTGCCTTAAAAAAAGGTCATCTTACTTTCATTAACATTAGTTGTGTCGGGCTGAGTGTGGTGGCCTGTAATCCCAGCCCTCTGGGAGACTGAGACAGGAGGATCCCTTGAGTCCAGCAGTTGAAGACTAGCCTCGGCAACACCTTGAGACCCAGTCTCTACAAAAAATACTAAAAAAACAATTAGTTGGGCATGGTGGTATGTACTTGTAGTCTCAGCTACTGTGGAGGCTGAGGTGAGAGGACTGCTTGAACCCAGAAGGTTGAGGCTGCAGTAAGCTATACTTGTGCCACTGCACTCCAGCCTGGGCAATACAGTGAGACCCTGTCTCAAAAAAACAGCCCCAAATACCAAAACAAAACATTAGTTGTATTGTTAATATATTTATGGTATACTAGCTTTTGGGGAGTTGTTAGTTACATGATGTTAATTTCTTAATATTACAATTCAACATTTTTGGTATTTATTAGCTTGTAAATCTGTTTTCCTTTTTTAAAAAGTCAATCAAATTTAGCAGTGGGAGATTGTATACCATCAATGTTAGTGACACTAATGTTCAATTCTGATAACCCACTACTATCAGACCAGCCTGTTTTCTATAATCTTAATTGTGTTCCGTGTAGATTCTTCTCATCATTTTGTAGAGACATTTAACATAAAACCACAGGACTTGCACAAATGCATTGCCAGATGCCATTTCGCACGTAGCAGATTTTTACAAATTTTGCAAAGAGAAGATTGTGTTACCCAAAAATATCAGGAAAATGCGCAGTAAGTAGTACCTTGATAGAAAATAATTTCTTTCTTTTGAACAGATGTCACCAATATAATGTCAGCAGAAATAATCCATGCCTACCTCAAAACCCTGGTGATTATTTTTCCATTTTAAAGTCAGATAACTTTTTTTTTTTTTTTTTTCCTATCTGAGACAGGGTCTGGTTCTGTCACCTAGGCTCTTAAGCTGGAATTCAGTGGTGTGATGTCGGCTCACCGCAGCCTCTGCTTCCCAGGCTTAAGTCATCCTCCCACCTCAGCCTCCAGAGTACCTGGGATTGTAGGCGCAGGCCACCATTCCCAGCTAATTTTTGTGTTTTTAATAGTAACGGGTTTTCACCATGTTGCCCAGGCTGATCTCGAACTTCTGAGCTCATGCAGTCTGCCTGTCTCAGCCTCCCAAAGTGTCAGGATTACAGGCATGAGCCACTGTGGCTATAGTCAGATAACTTCTGCATAAAATATTTTAAAACTTTAGGTATACTATAAATGTAAGTTTAGAGAAAAAGAAAAGATCACTGTATTTATTGATTTATTTATTTATTTTGGGATGGAGTCTCACTCTGTTGCCCAGGCTTGAGTGCAGTAGTGGAATCCTGGCTCACTGCAACCTCCACCTCCTGGGTTCAAACGATTCTCCTGCCTCAGGCTCCCGAGTAGCTGAGATTACAGGCGCCTACCACCACGCCTGGCTCATTTTCTTTTTTGTATTTATAGTAGCGATGGGGTTTTGCCATGTTGACCGTGCTGGTCTTGAACTCCTGACCTCAAGTGGTCCACCTGCCTTGGCCTCCCAAAGTGCTGGGATTGCAGGTGTGAGCCACTGTGCCCG